TATATATATATATATATATATATCGCCTCATATTTTATTCTTGTTTCATAGATTTCGAATGTGAAATATAATGATTTATGCTAATTCGTGGTGTTTTTATGTGTAGGAATCATCCGGAGGCAATATGGGGCAAAAGAAGCAAAATTGGAAAAAGGCCATTTGTAGCGCCACAGGTAGCGTGGGGCACTACCTGTGGCCAGTTTCCAGAACCTCAAAAATCCCAGTGCCAGGGCAAGCGCCCCACGCTACCCTAGGTGCTGGTGATGGGAAGTTTCTCCTATTTTTCCCGGGACAAGGTTATTTCGGCCCAAGACCCATACTCGATTTGTGAGTGTCCTATATTAAAGTGCTTAGGAGGGTTAGTGACTATTCCTAAATGTATCCTACACGTCCCGTAGCCTACATTACAAACATAACGTCCTAATTGATCCTAGATTTGGCTAGCTTAGATTAGTATAGATGTACACTACGGGCAAGTTTATGGCATGACCACGGGATGCACATGAAATTCTTTAAGAGAGAGAAAATTTTTATCAATTGTCTGATGTCCTTAAATAACGTTCAAAGGCATACATGAATGTGTGGACTTTTCTATATTCATTCTTTTGTTTGTTGGTGAGGGCACATGATCTCATGAAGGATTGTTAATGTCGTAAACTTCTCTTGTTGGGTGAGTGCGCGAGTTGAGGGTGCTTAGTGGTAACGAGTCGGCTCTTGAGGTAGGGTGGTTATGGGTAGGTTGTTTGAATTGAAATGGTTATACTTGGGCATGTTTGAAATGAGAAGTATAAGTGATTGCATATGATGCAGTTCAATTGTTGCTATAAACCATGGTCATTGGTAGAGTGTATGTTGAAAAAAAATTAAATTGATCTTCCCGAGGTGAGATGTACGTGTTGGTGTGTAGTTGAGAGTTCCATTGCTCAAGGGCGAGCAAGAGTCTAAGTGTGGGGTGTTGATATTTAGCTTAAAGTATATATATTTATATGTATATCGCCTCACATTTTATTCCTGTTTCATAGATTTCGAATGTGAAATATAATGATTTATGCTAATTCGTGGTGTTTTTATGTGTAGGAATCATCTGGAGGCAATATGGGGCGAAAGAAGCAAAATTGGAAAATGGTCATTTGTAGCGCCACAGGTAGCGTGGGGCACTACCTGTGGCCAGTTTCCAGAACATCAAAAATCCCAGCGCCAGGGCAAGCGTCCCACGCTATCCTAGGTGCCGGTGACGGGAAGTTTCTCCTATTTTGCCCGGGACAAGGTTATTTCGGTCCAAGCCTCCCCCCCCCCCCCCAACTCGTATAAAAGCAAGTCTAAACCTATTTTGGGGGGAGAGACGCCACTTTGAGAGGAAAACACAAGCACAGAACACTCGGGAGCAAGGATTCTCAGTTTTTCTTCTCTTCTCTTCCTTTAACTTTATAGTTTATTAGTTCTGGAGTTATGGGTGCTACATGAACGTTGTAGTTTGAAGCTTGAATTGTTCTTGTTATTTTATCATATTGGTTTATTTATTCAATCTTGCACTTAATTATTTGATTGTTTGATCACCAATTGAATACTATCTACGAATCTAGGATTTAAATCTGGAGGGGGAATTCTAGATTGCATACAAGATTGAGTAGAGCAAGATCTTGAACTTGAGCATCGGGAACGAATTTGTGGCTAGGATAGGGATATACTTAATCGCCTTTCTTGGTTATTATACGGGAATTATTAATGCGTTCTTATTAATCCTAATCCCATAGGAATATAGGTGTTAGGTTAGCTTGAATAGGCGAGTAGTACTTCGGGAGAAGGCTACGAGTAATATTAACCTATCAATCAATAAACTAGATAAATTAATTAGACAATTTAGATAGAAAACTCAACGCGATTGTTAGCTAACTCATAGCTCTAGAATATTGTCTTTCATTGAATTCGTCTCTAATATTCGCCAAATTGTTTCCTTTAATCTCTTAGTTTGCTACACTAGATTAATTGTAGTTAATAATCTTTAGAAAATTGCTTGAATAGATTAATTGTCTTGGTTTAATTTAGTTGATAGTTAATCACAAGTCCCTGTGGATACAATATCTGGACTTACAATCATATATTACTTGTCGACCACGTATACTTGTGTGTGCGTTTGGGAGCAACAATCGTACGAATCGACTTCTGTTATTAATAGCACAAAATAATGCACATTGAAATAAGAAATTTTTTCTTAGGCTTCTTACATTTGCTAAATGAACTACCTAGAAATATTAACAGTTGTTGCTCTTATTCTTCTCACAAAGTTGTGTTAGCTCCATCACAGCAGCATCAATATCTTCCGCATTTTTAGATCTCAATTTCTCACCCAAATTTCTAACATTACATCTCAGATTCTCACCTGATTTTCCACATACTACATCTTTGATAACTCTTGCTATATCCTCTCTATGAAGTGTTCCATTATCATCCCTCACTACCTCCAAAGCTACTCCAATTTCCACTAGCAATTTAGCATTCATGGGTTGATCAAGATCCATGGGTATAGCTACAATTGGAATACCATAGTCTATACTTTCTGAAATCGAATTCCATCCGCAATGACTCACGAATCCGCCAATACTTAAATGAGTTAAGATTTTTGCTTGTGGAGCCCATCCTCCCATAACCATCCCTCTATCTCCAATTCTCTCAAAAAAACCTTGTGGTAATGCCTCTTCAAGACTTTTATTTTCCCCTTTTGGAAACCTAACAACCCATATGAAATTCACATCACTAAGCTCTAATCCAAAAGCTACTTCTTCCAATTCTTCCTTTGTTAAGAAATACCCACTCCCAAAAGAGACCAACACAGTTGAGAACTTGTCTTTTTTCCCTAACCATTCCATAATCTCCATGTTTCCATCTACACTAGCCATAGGATCTTGAACTAGTGTACCAATTGCCAAAACCTTAAATTTGATTATTTCGGACATATAATCGATGTATATTCCCTCCATCTCTCGCGATGTACCTATTAGCATCATGCCAGTAAATTCTTCAGGAGCTCTAACTTCAGGTTCATTGTCTTCACGATGTTCTTTAACTACGTTATGAGCTTTCGTTAGCTCATAAGAAGGTAAATGAAGAGCTGGGAAGGGGAACTCAACATCTTGTTTCATAAACAAGTGGCTGAAATAGGAACACATGGCTGCACAAGAAGTGAAAAATCTAGCAGCTGGAATGTTAAGGGAAGAAGCCACCCCCGCAGCCCATAATTGCTTGACATCATGGATTAACAAGTCAGGTTTTCGAGCTTTTAATAAGTTGAAAAGATTTGGTTTGGCCATTTTGAGGGCTTTTTGAAGGGTGGAATGGAGATGGAGTGGGAGGCCATTGGTTGTATGATAGTGAGGTGGAAGCTCAGGCAAGTCTGGTAACTGGAGTTCCACAAGCTGAATTGAGGAACAATAGCTTTCTGGGATTCTTGTCCTGATGAAACTTAGGTTAATAGGGGACGAACATAGGTCAACCAAGACACCTCTGTCCGCGAGTTTTTTGGCTAGCTCAAGAAATGGAGAGATGTGACCATATGCCAGCCATGGAAACAAGAAAGCTTTCAATTTGGTAGATTTCGTACACATCGTGTGGTTTGTGCAGGAGAGGGAGTGGGTCTGAGAGATTAAGCTCAGACGAACTGCAGTCCGTCCCGCCCCTTCTTAGTAACTTTGATCAGGAGAAGGAATATGGGAATAAATAGAGCTTAGGTTAAAAAATATGTAGGTGAATAAAAAATTTGCTATGGAGCAGCTTGTTAGAATTGTAAGTGTTGATGAAGACGAAGAAGAGGATCGAGGGCTGAGGTTTCAATGCTTTAGTCATTTTGTTCGTCAGAAAGGGACATCAACAAAGACAGACAACACAATTTGTTACTACTTATTCTTTCTAAGGATTTGAATTTAGTCGGCAACTTACTTACATTGTGAACTTGTCTCTAATGTTAAATTGTACAAGTTGTTTTATCCAAGTGTATGTATGAACTTTAAAGTGCCAATCTTTTTATTCCTCAACAATATAAGCTGCAGAATCAGAATATATGGTCAAAGAGAATGTGATGTATGCACCTCGTTGTCTTTCCTCTAATTTATTACAATACTAACTGTTAATTCTAGTTACAGGAACTCCAACGGCATGACTTACATATGATGAGTCTATGATTTTTTTTATTTTTTATTTTATTTTTTTTGCTTTCCACATGGTGTCAGATACCTATTTTGGGGTCCGACTAATTGGAATTCTGCCAGGAGGTCCTACTTTAAAGCGTAAACCGCACCCTACTAAAGGCGACTTAATTCCTAGAGTACGATCTACTATTAATGGAGTAGTATATTATAACCTGCATACTACATTGGACTTATTATCTGAATCTTTTATAGTATCAGAAGCATGGAGCTACTTGCCTGAATTCTTTTACTATCTAAATTTTCTTTCAGCTTCTTCTCCCGTCTTTCCACCCAAATCATTGCTGCTTGTTTCGGGCAAGAATTACCGTTGCTACCATTCATGTTGAGCAGCATCTCCTTTCTTTTGTCTTTCTTCTATCATCACATGCAACTATGCACTTTCTTCGTCTTTGTTGCTTTTTTTGTCCAAAAATGGTTGCTACTCTATCTCCTTTCTTGCCATATCAAGGATCTTGTGTATCGAATTATATCAAGTAGGTTCATCCTCTCAATCTCTTCTATAGCTGTATGATCTCTTTGGTCATACCAATGGTTATAAGGCAGCTCTAGCTGAGTTATTCCGAGTAGAAATGACACCAAGTAGCCACTCTAAAGGGATGCTATTTAGAAATTAGTCAGTGCATCCTGAATTTCAGTTTTTCAATTTTTCGGGACAACCCTTATTCCGATGATCTTATTCTATTGAGTCCATAATTTTGAAAAAATAAGTGCCTGAAAATTCTATTACGTACTTCAACTCTTCTGTTTTATTGTATACCTCAAATACGTGAAAATTTGGTCTCTATTAATCAATTTGTTTGTGACGATACGTATCGTCCGTATTTCATCCTTAAAAGATCTCAAAAGAAAAAATTAACAAGAAATTTCATGAAACATTTTAGTAATAGAAGTTTGACGGTAATGAGTGTCACTCGAATACCCAAAACAAATAATGCCCAAAAGCCTTGTTTATTTTTTGCTTTTGGGGTGTTAACTTTCAGACTATATCTATCATAAATGTACTTTTCAGGTACCATCACCTTTTATTTATTTACAAGAATTATCATTTCAGAAATAAAAGAAACTAAATTTACTCACAAAAATAGAAAATGGGAAAAGAATTCGACTTGTACTCAACAAAATTTTATCATCGGAAATATATACTGCTAAAATATTAAATCTCAATACATACGATTATATCACAACCAGAACTCCTAAATTCCTACCAAAATCAATAAACACTAACACTGCCCCATATAAAAGTAGCATCTGAAATGAAAAATACAATCATCTTTATTCATTAACATCAAAATTCTAATGCCTGAAGAGAGAAACAACACATAAAATGAGAGAACTTATAACAAACGCAGTGGAAGACGACAAAGAAAATGACGCACCGGCGTCTGGTGCAGGCGCCGGAGCCAAACCCAACTCCTGAGCCAAAGTTTTAGACATGGCAGAGAAAATGGCTAAGACAAAGGCAATCAATAATGCGTTGAGAATGCTAACTTGAGCCATTGGTGCAGAATAAAATTTGCTGAATAATTTAGGGTTCAGAACTTCAGATTGGGGAGAACTGAGTTAAGAGGTTGTGAATTTATATAGGGGGTGAAGGAGACAGCTAGCTATAGAATTTTGATAAGTGTAGTTTACCAAACAAAACGTAACAGCTGGTGAATGTGAAAGCTGGAAAGTTCATGCCTATGATTGTTTATTATTAGTACTCCCTCCGGTCCATAATAAGTGATTTTTTGGCCTTTTTTTTGTGGTCCAAAATAAGTAATTTTTTCAGGTTTCAAGAATAAATTAATTATTTTTTTCCTACATTGCCCTTGGAGTAAATAATGTTGGATTATGTGTTAGGAGTGTTTATGTGAAGAGATAATAAGGTTAATATGGTCAATTTCATTGCTAATTAATTTTAGAAGGTGAATTTCTTAATATGTGTGAAAACAACCAAAAAAAATTACTTATTTTGGACCGGAATGAGTATCAATTATTTGCTAGCATTAATTGTTTGATTTGGTTGATTTATTTTTGTTAAGTAGGAGATGAATCTCACTAAATGGTATGAATGCTATCAATGTATTTGGACACCGTATTTTACTCCCTCCGGTCCAAAATAAGTAATTTTTTGGCCTTTTTCTTGTGGTCCAAAATAAGTGATTTTTTGGCCTTTCAAGAATGAATTAATTATTTTTTTCCTACATTGTCCTTGGAGTAAATAGTGTTGGAATATGTGTTAGGAGTGTTTATGTGAGAAAGTAAAGGTTAATATGGTCAATTCCATTGCTAATTAATGTTAAAAGGTGAATTTCTTAATCTGTGTAAAAACATCCAAAAAATTATTTATTTTGGACCGGAGAGAGTATTATACATTACTTTCTTGCCAGCCTTTACAGCAAAAAATGTGTAAGGCGACCCCAAATCATGAGTATGTTTGTTCTAGAATTTTGAATTCTTTAATCTTTCAACTCAATTGAAGCGTGATCTTGATGTCTGAACCCAAATCACCATACTATATTATAAATGGGAAGACCAAAGTTAGAAGTTAAAAAACTAAAATAACCATGAAAAATTGTATGACCGTTTTGCCCTTCAAGCAAGCATTATTTCAAGAACATTTGGGTGCAAAGATACAAATTTACATTCTACAAATTAAAGAATACAAAAAAAAGAAAATTAATAAACATAACAAAAAGAAACGTAAAATTAGAGAAAAAGAAATGTGAGAGCCATTCACATGGCCATAAATATAAAACATGTTCAAATGACTAGGTTTTAACAATGCATTAATAAGGCCTTTGGCTTTCTTTAGAAAAATGTGTCAAAGCACAAGAGTAAAACCGTTGAAGTCACTTTTTTCTTTTACTTTTACCAATTTCAGATAATCTCATAATCGAAATACAAAGTCAGTGGAAGAAATAATGGTAAATGTTATATCGGCTACTTTTAAAAATAAGTAGTGCATGAATAACATTGAAGTTGCAGTTTTAACATGTAAGTTATTTTATTTCTTTTTTACTTTCATATGAGTATTCAACAATTGTATTGTTTATGCAAATTTTCGTTAAGTAAAACTCCCTATACTATTTTGGTATGAAATAGTGTCTTTTTATTCTATTTTTCTTTAGTAATCACCGGTCGGCGAATTGATGTATATTATTGATAATAGGTGAATTAGACTATAATTGGACCCTAAAGAACCACATTTTTGTATAGCTTTGTGGTAAAAAAGTGATAACCAAATGCTCTGATTAGTGCTTTTCATGCTTTGCAGGCTATATCCAACGAATGAAGTTGATGGAGCAAGTTTGGGATCAATTACGGAGAAAAAGAGGTCAATCAAACAATGCCCACGAAATGCACCAAGTGAAGAGACAAAAGCAGAGCTTAACTTGGCCTGCCGCGGTAGGATCGCGGCAGAGTAGAGCTGCAGATTCAGAGGACCTCTTTGGCTGCGGTCCTGGCGTAACCGCGGTGGGACCGCGGCAGAACGCGAAAAAGTCAGGGACTAAAGTGTCAAGTCGGGAAAACTTGGTGTAAAACCCTTATAAGAAGTAGGAATTAGGCCACATTAGGGCAGATTTGTTTTAGGGAGTACTTTGGCAAGAGAAACAAGTGTGAGAGATCACCCAAAACATCATTATTCTTATTCTCTTTTATTTTTCTTGCAATTTTCGATTATGAATCTTCTAGTAGTTTATTCCTCCATTGTTATGAGTAGCTAACTTTTCTAATCTAAGGTTTTGGTGGAACCCGTTGGGGATGACTTGGTTGTTTTATTAATATAGTTGGATTTGAGAGTTTAATCTCTATTTGTTCAACTATGTTTCGATTGTGGTTAATTGAAAGGATCCTCAATTAACTGTTCATATTTATTATGTATCTGCTTGAGAGAGAGTGCATATTTAGGTAGTTGTTTGAACAACATCACTCCCGGAGTATAGGCGAGAGTCATAACCGAGGGTTTAGAGGTTGCATTAGAGATAACGATACCTCGGGTGCGATCTAAGTGAACTGTAATGCGAATCTAGCTAGCGTAGCTTGAGAGAGTGCGTCTAATAAATTATCATAATTGCTTGAGAGAGATTTATGATAGCTGGAGAGTTCATGATTGATAGAGGCAACTAAGTCAACGCTATAAGAAACATACAACCAAGGAAATCAACAACCGGGGAAACCATTACCTTAGACCTTTATTCTAATTGTTTACAATTCAAGCATAGTTAGTTTTCAGCTGTTTATTTATTTTCAATCTTGTCTTCTTGGTGATATTAAATAGATACAGCTAAGCCTTAGTTCTCTGCGGGATTCGACTCCGGACTTTTAGACCGGATTATATTTGCAGCGACCGCTTATCCTTTTTAGGACTAGAGTTGGGCGTGATCAAATTTTGGCGCCGTTGCCCGGGAACTAACGGTGTAGTTGTAGCTGTATATATTGCTAGGGTTCAAGTTTGAACTTTTAGTTTGTTTTATTTTTTTTTTGTATTTTTTTTATAATTGTTGATTTGAGAAACATGGCATCTTGGAATTATGGGAG